TTACTTAACTCCTCTATTGAAAGTTTATAAGAATAAATAACTTATATTGTTAACATTTTACTGTTGTCTATTCTTATACCTAATTTGTTGTTTCAAGGCTTATACATTATTGTTAAACCTCCCATCATCTCTACTGAACCTTCATAATTGAGTCCCTGAGACCCATAGTAGTGGTACAAGTTTACAAGTTACAAGTTGTACAAGTTACTAACCTAATTTTGAAAAACAGAAGTGTTTTGTAGATATCTTACCATAAATCACAAAATGCATTAAAAGTTTGTTTGTATTCATCTGTATTATTTAATATTGTATACAACATTTATTTCAGATTAGAGGACATATTTTATACGGGGTGGTTCTGTAGGGGTTGAAATGTTTAGTAGATATCTTACCATAAATCCATAAAATTATTTTAAAGTTTGTTAGTACCGGTAACTAATAACCGGGTTATTTAGTGTATACAACTTTTTATTTCAGATTAGAGGAAATATTTGTATGGGGTGGTTCTGTAGGTCTGAAATTACTTCTACCCTGTCTTGGCGACATTTTCATGCAACTGCTAGTTAAATGAGTAAAATATTTTTATAAATTGATAAAAAATTTAACCTTTATTGACTTCAATTTAAATATAATTAAGTTACACCAACTGTAGGCTTTATAAGCTTATTCATCTTCGTCTTCCTCATCATCTTCTGAGCCTGATACCTCATCTGTGGCAGGTGGTGTATCAACAATGTTGTTGTAGAACACATGTTTGACGGGAGGTATGTTGGGCAGCACATTTAAAAAATGCTCTTACTACAATTGTAAGGTAAAATAGCTATTACATCACTAAGGAACTCGAGGACTCAATTGTCATAAACGGTGTGTTTTTTAGCAGAATTCCCATTTATGGAACAAGCTATTACCTTAGGTTTTATGGTAAGACCTAGCCCCGTGACCAATTGATTTTTTTATGTCCTAAGAGTCCAAAAACATTAGCCTATCTGTTGAATAAAAATAATATCTGTTCATACTTATGTGTTAATTAACACGATAACTCAAGAAAAAAAATCATTCAGTTTTGATGGAGTAAAAATGTGTAAACTTTTATTATTCTAACAAGTTTGCGTGACCAGACTTTAGGAACAGTATTTGATGGGGTGGTTTGTGGGTTGATAATGGATTATTCTGATTTTCGACCCTCAAACCATTACGTTTAACATTTTCTTATAAACCATTTTGTAGACTTTCAGGGTTGAATAAAATACATGAACTATTAAGATTAGTAAGGTAAAATTATTTTAATATAATAAAACTCATAATAGGTAACAAAACTATAAAACAAAAACAATAATAATCAGGATAAAGTCAGCTACAATTTAAACAAGTTTAAACATATAGAACTTCTTCCTACCAAGTTTACGCTTCTTCAATCAAACATGTATTTCCACCCAACTGTTTAAGTATGGTTCCAATTTCCATTTTACAGCATATTTCCCATATACGACATATTTTTCACAGGGTGCAAATTCCCCGAGATCACGGGGCATCATTATCGTCACCTGCGACCGAGCGAAAGTTTTGAACACTTCCGGCAATACGTTGACATTATCCACCATTATATTCACTCGCAATCATGTGACTCATCAAAAAATTGTTCTAAAAGAATTGTTTTTTTTTTTACTAAAGGCTACAGCCTAAGGGTTCCTTTTGGTTATTTTAAATCTGGCACTGGGAATTTTCTAGGCCAATCCGCCCACTATCATAGCATGTATGTATTTCCATAAGGCCTTTTCACACCGGCGTACTGGACGTACTGTACGTTTGGTACGGCCAGTTCGTACAGTACGCGGTCCTTTCACACCGCACAGAAACTTCCAAAACGTACACTTGTTCGTTTGCAGTCAGACAAGTAACACTGGCTGAGCACGTGGTTTTGGTGTGACCACTGCGCATGCGCGAGCTCGCGTACGCCTCGTACGATTTAGAAAAATCGCTCTCTGAGCGATTCTCACAAAACCATCGCGTACGTACTGTACGTACAGTACGTTCTGTACGAGCGGTGTGAACGAGCCCATATGATAACATGGACAGCGATTTGTTGAAAAAAAAACGTACCAAACGTACAGTACGTCCAGTACGCCGGTGTGAAAAGGCCTATAGCATGTATTGTTCTTCCAATATTAAGTAGATATGTTAGTAAAAAAAACCTCTTCAATAAGAGGTTTCAAACAACACAATTTTATGTCTTGTTTTTGTCACACAATGATCTGACACAATAAACACACTTTCCACATCTAAATGAAATTTTGAATTAATTCTAAAATCTAGAAAGATCTCTTATTTGGATGTTGGTGGTCACAAGAGAGAAAAGAATTTATTTATAAAAATAAATACCTCTGCCTTAAAAAATAAGGTTGCCAAAGACACAGAAAAATAGTACACATAAAATATTAAAGGATTATACAGCTATAAGACTGATTAATTTTGATGTTTGCCATATAGATGATTTCTCATTATGGTCAATGAACCTCTTAATGTTTCATGAATAATAATTTTCAAAAAGGATCTGTCCAAATCATATTGTTTCCAAAAGTTCACAAACAATTTTGATAATGTTCCTCTAGAACCAATAAACAATCCAATCACCTCAATTTTCGAAATTTTAAAATTTTGCTTGAAATATTCAAAGGTAGAATCATAAATTTTTTTCTTTTCTTCATTTACTTCGTTAGCTTGATTTATGTTTATTTCAAATCTAATTGTAGGATCGAGAATTATGCCTTTGTTAGTTTCTCTTTCGATCAATAAAATATCAACTCTTCTGGTGCTTCCGTTAGAAGAAAGACAGTGTACTTCTTCTTGCACTTCCCATGTATTATACCTTTTTCGGAAGGCATTTGCTATGATACTTCTTATTTTGTGGTGCCTTGTGTTTCTTAGAAGTTCACCAAACGGACAGAAGCCAAGGGCATGTGCAAGGGTTTCAATCTCACCACAGGCATGCCTGCAGCGGTTATTGCCCTGACTTCTGCCGTGGAGAACACGCACTGGCACCACATTTGCAATCATTTTTATACTGTCTTTCCACTCAGATTCTGACAAGCCTTCTTTATTAATAATACTTTTATTTCCCGGAGTATAGTCCTTGAAAAGTTCAACACCTTTACCCTTTTGTTTCAAGCTTTTCCAATTTTCAAACTCTTTTTCTCTTAAGTCATTTCTTAATTTTTGGGTATTTATTGTTTGATTACGATCAATTTCTTCTAGGTGTAATTTTTTTAAACAAATTGTTTCTATCCGTTTAAATTTGTCTTCATTTACTGTATAACAATTTTTAACCCGTCTGAGTATTTGTATAGAATTAAGTTGTTGAATATATGCTTCCCATTGAGCCTTGATTAATCCAAGTCCTTTAATTTTTTTGGGCTATATAACATAAAATCTGGAGTGTCAGTTGGTAAGCTTAATATTTCTTTAACACTACTTTTAACCAGTTTGTCCAAGTCAGTTAAAAATGTTACTGGTAATTTATGGAGTGGAGCATTTTGAAATGGATATATTAACGTTGGCCATATACATTGATTAATTATATTAAACTTTTGGCTTGACAAAAGTAATGTAGTCGATGTTAGTCTTTCTAATTGGGATTTGAATTGTTTGATTATTCTTTCTTTATTAAAAACGATCCCTTGGGAAAAGTTAACACCTAAATACTTTATGTTTTCACTATCTGAAATACTTTTTATGAATAAGTTTTCATCTAACCAGATATTACTTTCAACTAGAAGCCCTTTTTCAATCACGATAGACTGACATTTGTTGGGGTTTATTTCTAGTCCGATCGAATTAAGTAAATTAATGGCCATTGAAGTAAGGGTTGCAACACTTTGTTTGTCTTTTCCAATAATAACTAAATCATCAGCAAATCCCATTATGGTTAGTCTATCTGAATCCGGCAGAAGTTCGTATCCGTAAGCCATTTGAACTTCTTTTTCACTTAGTTCATTTAAAATGAAATCTGTGCACAAATTATACAGCGTAGGGGATAAAGGTGCTCCTTGTAGTAACCCTCGTTTGAAGGGAATCACTTTTGTTTTACTTCCACCAGTTTCAATAATAGTTTGGTTGTCTAACTGAAGATTTGCTATCAAAGTTTTTAACTTCCTAGGAATGTCATGTGATTCTAGCGTTTTAACTAGGTGTTCGTGCCCAACACAATCATAAGCTTTGTTAATATCTAGAAAAACCAATGAAACATCTTTTTCCTCTGTCTTAGTTTTTGTTAATCTGTAATCTCTATTTATTGTAAACATACTGTAAATCTCTATTTAAAAATCGTAAGAATTCTAACAAGTTTTTCTTTTCTACTATTTTTTTTTTTGTATCCCAGACCCAAGCAGTCTGTAAGCAGTGGTATAGTTCGGCAGGAGCGGGTTCCCACTCTGCTTTTTTCAAAATTCCTATGTTACCTATGGTGACCTGGGTTTTTCCAAAATACTGACAGTGGCACTGAAAAATGTACAACTACACCACTGTCTATTTGAGCTACAGGGCCGTCCGAAGGGGGGGGGGGCGCCGTGGCTAAGGGGGCGCCGTGGCTGAGGGGGCGCCGTGGCTGAGGGGGCGCCGCGCAGCAGCTATTTGTATTAACATAGTATTAAAATATGCGAATGTGACTATTACTGCTGGGGGGGAGGGGGCGCCACAACCACATTTGCTCCGGGCGCCGCTAACCCTAGGGACGGCCCTGTTGAGCTAGAGCCATAGCAATTCATAGCAAGTCAACGGGTTTGTTGAAATGGAAATATTTACACTTATTCTAGTTATTATTTTAGTTTTGGTATCATTCGTATGTGTGTACCTTTTGGTTTCATGAATTAGAGTGAACAATTAATTATTAAAACCTACAAAGCAAGATCTGACGACTAGTTTAATCAGGTGTGCACCTGATTATTTGATTATTTTCATTCCACATTCAATACCTATAGAAAAACAAGGTATAGGAAGCAACAGTATATTTTTAAAAACTTGTTTATTTTCTCTATTTCTCTAATTATTAAGACAGATGCAATTGATGTACTTAGTGAGGTTAAATCAGCAAGCTTTTATACTATTTCTTTATACATGTTATTTTGTAGGCAGTGGCTAAAACATAAATCGAGTTAACAAATAACTGCTTAAAACAGCTTCTAAAACTAAGTAGAATCAAATAATTCCTAATTTTTATAATAATTATTACTAAAGACTAGTTATGTAGTATATAAAATTATATTTAAAAATACACTCTCGAAATATGAGGTCAAAATAATTATGACTTAAAGTAATTTAACAATATTTAAGGCTCGTTTGAACAAATAAAATATTTTGAAACTAGCATCTAAATGGTTAACTAATCTCATCTTGTATTTAACTGATTGTTTTCAATATCCTATTTATAAATAATCAATAAATGTTGTCTATAGCTAGATTGCAGGGTATCTGTACAATTTACAATTTCAAACTATTTTAAACTCTGAATAAACTAATATGACTAAGTTAACGTCAATCTTAAATATTCTCAATGATTCCACCAACAAGATCCTCTGGCCAAAATATTATTTTCTAAATAAATTACTCTTCTATTGAGAGCAAATCAACATATCACAGCTCTGCCACAATGACAGCTAACATTTTACTCTGAAATAAATACTAAACAAAGAGTGCTATGTTAGTATCAATAAAATATTACTATTCAACAACAGCAACTTTGAAACGTTGACAGTCCATGCTTAAAATGACCTTTGTTTCTCTATGGACTATAGACATATTCTCTTTTACAAAAAAATAGATTTTCTAGACACTAATTTTACCAGAAACAAAATTTATTATGCAATTCTCTAAGTTCAGTATTCTCTCTTGTGCTTGAACTTTATTTTCTAAAAACAAAATATCAGTTTTGTTATAGCCAACAAACAAATTTAAAAAGAATTTAAATTGAGGAAAAATTTCAAAGCACCCTTTGATAATTTACAAAAAATAATGTAGGTATTTACAAATTTTCCATAAGCTGTTATTCACAGAGCTAATTTTTCACAAAAATGTATTATCTAACTAAAAGAACAAAAATCTAAATAAAATGACAAAACTATTTACATTTACAAACACACATTCACAACTTTCAAACTTGCAATCACAGACAATAACAAAATTATTTGTGTAAAAAGTGTCATAGAATTATTGACTGAGAGAAGCGATACAATTATTGTGCAAAAAATAAAAATGCATTCTTCCTTTTAGAGAGTTCGGAATTAAATCAGGTTTGGTCCCTTGTAAAAAAACCAAATTAACATATTTAAATCTGGAAAAATGTGAACCTTTCAACTGATTGAGGGAGCGCTCTACCTCTTTGTGAATAAGTTAATGTAAATAAGCTTACTGTGATAAGCTTGTTCCAAAAGTGAATAAAAAAATTTAAACTTTTATTGGGTTTTAAATTTTGTTTATTAGGCTAAAAGATTAATATATAAAAGGAGTTATTGGTTTTTAGACATATGTTTTGTATAGGAATGATTAATTTGAGACCAAATATAAAATTCTCTTAAGCATATGCAAATGATAAAAAATCTGCATTCAAAGCTGATTAGTTTCATTTGAAGAAATATTTATCAATTTCACAAAGCATTAGGCCCTTCTCCTACTAGTCAGTCATTTAAAATCATGCAATTCACAATTTGTAAATAGAGCGTTCTCTCAAAGGATCGTGAATGATAAAAACTGCTTTCAAAGCAAAACCATCAGGTGAAACTGCACTTGGTGCGACAATACAAATACTTTGTACATTACAACTAAACACTCGCAAACCAAACAAACACACGGCCACAGCAGATGCCGGCAAAGTCAGTCAGGCTGCATGGCACCAACGTGGCGTGGGGCGACACTACACGGCTATATGTACAAAGTGGAGACTACGTCGGAGTATAAAAATGGAAAAATCTTATTCACAAACATGACTTGAAAACAGTGAAGAAAGGATCGCCAAATTGTAATAAACTTATTGGTAAACTAAACAAAAGAGAATCAGAAGGTCGGGTCGTGCTTTGAGCATCAGACGGGTAGGTAGGAACATTCGAGTCACCCCACAGTTAAGCGTTAAAAACTATTTACAAATTGATGTCGCTATGTTGTAACAAAATTAAACAGTGTTACCGTTTTTTTACATTAACAATTTGTGTAACTTAATTTTAAATAAATTAAAAACTATCACAGACAGCTGTGAAAAGTATTTGTTCGTTTATGAAAGTATACATAAATCATTAAAGGCAAGATAATTTAAATTAAATGCCAAAATACAAGAGAAAGCAAAGAATTTTCACACAGAATTAAGCTTGGATGAAGCTGGTAATGTACATTTTTTAATTAAATTTCATAGGTTTTTTTTATTTAGATTTCATGCCAAGCATAACCATTATATTAATGCATACTGTATTGCTTAGTATAGATAAACATTTGCTTTCTTAACTCGGCTGTTCAAGATTACAAGGTGCATACGTGAAAGCCTAACCCTATAATCAATTATGCAAATCAACAGAAATACTTGATAGTTCGTACAATTAATTAATCAAATATTACGTTTGAAGTATATTGTTTAGAAATACTCCCTACTTAATCTCAACTAACAGTTATGTTATTGCATATTCAGTCTTTATATTGCTTCCAATTTTAATGTAATTACATGAAGCTTTATATATTTTATCCAGCACATTGACTTGTCAACACGAGTAATAAAAAAAAAAACTTTAAGTTTATATCAGGAACAATAAATAAAATTTTTCTACAAACTCTTTGCTTTGACACATTGATAGCCTTTTCAAAGCTTTTCATATATGAAAAACTTTTCAGTAAATTCTTTGCTTTCCGTTGCTTTAACTAATTAGTTATTGCCGATCGCTCAGTGCCACCTGGTGAAGGGGAGTAGAAGCACAGCTAGTGAGAGAGTCAGCAGGTAGACAGCGCTAGCAGATGACGCAGCTCCACTCGTCTTGTCATGAGGTATCTTGGGACTGGTGTTGACTGGTGAGTCTGAATCAACTGAAACACACCAGAAACAGTTTAACATCAGTTTAACACAGGGAATGAAATCAATACAGGCAGAATGCATATAATTTGGAAGACACACCAATCTAGAATTACTGGGGGTGATCAGGTGATATGCAAGGCAATACACTTATTTCAGTACAGCCTCCATCATCTGACAGACTTCTAGCTTACAGACATCTGATGGACGTTTATAGCTTCTATTTAAAATGTATGGTGGTGTGCAGCACACAAAATAAAGGAAAAGTACAGTTAGAGGTGCAAAAGAAGTTGTTTTAAAATGTTTCATCATGCCTTGAGACCCAAACCCCCCATTGGATTGACTCACTAAGGACTTTTCACAATAATCTTTTTCAGAATGTGTTTGGCCAATTGTCTTCCAACAAAACACCGAAATGGGTTGAAGGTGTAGGATTGAAATGCCATAGAATCTCTTTGAGGCTAAGGATCAAATAGCTAAACAGAGACTATTGCCACCAACCAGTCCATGATGCAGTAAAACACTACTTTTGGCTTAGCTCAAACCATGTACAGTTTTGATTTTAATAACTAGGTTTTTAGCTAGACACTATGTTACCATGCTGTATTTACCTTCGATGGGTCTATCCCCAGAGCCTGAGCCCTCCTCATTCCAAGGTTCTCTTGCTGGGTCATCATCCTCTGCGTCCCAGTGAGGCGAGTGACCACTGCCGCTGCCTTCCTCTCCTCGGACAAACGAGTCACTCATCAGCTGATTTGTCTGACTCAGCTGACTCAGTACCACCTAGAAGAGTACAAATGTCAAAATACCAACATTTTATAAAAATCAATTTTTAAATTTGTTTCAACTGAGGTAATTTTTTTCTGAGGTCCAAGCATTTGGTGGAATTGTAATTACTGTACCCTATCAAACTTATAGTGCCAAATATTTAGCCAAATATACAGCTAGTTAATCCTCATGTAATTACAGTAGACTCCCTCTCATTCAGATCAGTTTTTTAAGCTTTGAAGTTCATACGGCCTCTTGTGTATGACTCGCAGATTCCCTCACAAGAAAGAGCCTTGCCAGTTAATTAATATCTACATAGATAAACAAGAACTTGTTTGTGCAGCACAAATGTTATTGCTGTAATCATTTTTGGTTTAGTATAGCTGAGTAGTTTACAAATTTTGCACACATTATGCGTGGGTTTCTTACGTGTCTATTCCTTTTTGTACTTAATTCTGACAGCTGAAATCTTTTTCGGCTCAGGAAAGGGTTTGGCCTCAAGATGTCTAAACGAAAGTATACTGCATTGAGGATTTTTGGTCTATTTTACTATCGATTAACTATGTAAATCGAGTCTTATATATAATTCAAAACAAAAACTTATCCTTTTGAATACTGAGGGTAAATGTTAAAATTGTGTCCGTTAAAATATTCAACAGAATTGTCTCATTGAAATGGGATAATCCACTAAAAGCTACAAGCAATTACAGTGGAGGATTGATTAGTTTGTTATTCTGTAAACAGTTTGATGCAAAGTGGCATTTGGTTGAATATACAATTTAGTAAGTAGTAGTGATTTAGTATGCTAAACGAATGCTGATACTAAGAGAATGTTTTGACATAAATGTACCTGTCTCATATGCCTCAGCCTGTCACTAAGTTGGCCAATCTTAGGGTCAGGTTCCGACTCTGTCCAGGTCAACTCTGGGTTGTACTTCTGCGCATCTACGCCAGGCCTCACCAGGGTCTTGGTGTACCTGCAAAAGTCACATCCATTAACAACTCAATATTCATTCATATTGCATATTGAGTGGCAAACATTCTATGGCTTAAGTTTCGCATCCGTTGGAACATATCATCTTCAAGGTTTCGAGGCACATCTGACAGTAGTTGTTGAACTATAGTTAGCCCCAAAGATGGTTTGCTACAACGCATCTCCAGTATTTTTACCAGTTCAACTGTTCGTCAAGATTGGACAGTCTACTTAGATCAAGGAAGCACATCTTAAGGGCTTAAGGAAGCATAGTTTAAGATAAGTGTGTACACTTTTAATAATATCAGATTTTGAAATGAAATAATATTACATTAAATTAAATTAAAAACTAGTTAGAGATAAGATTATATTATAAACTAATCTCCAACTAGTTTTGTGTTTAATAGATGGTTATATTGCTATAGTTCGGCCGCTTAGAAATCGACCTCCTCCAGCATTGGTTTAGCATTAGCGCGCAGGTCGTTTTCTAAGCGGCCGAACTATAGAAGAAACTTTAGGAGAATAATTAATCACATTGAAACAAGACAGTTTGTTATTCTGTAATTACAACCACAGTTGAACATATGGTCAAAATCTAAGTTGGAAAAGTTAATTTAGGCTTGAATGAAAACTTAATATTAAACTACAGACAATGTGATATATTGTGCCAGTGGTTAGTACCTAATTAAATTGCGATCACAAAAAATGTTTGAAAAAACATATGCACCTAAGTTGACAGCTGAATACACCACAAAGAGCATATTACTTCATTAGTTGGTTTCCTCCTCCTCATTGAAAGAAATTCAATATAGTTTAAAATTATGATTGAGAAACTAAATTATAGTTCTAAATCGTTTTATAACCATGCAATGTTATACAATACATACAGACACTCATACACACTCTAAAATAATACTTCAAAATTCCTCTAAAACACAAATCACAAAAAAATATTTCATTTAATATTTTCCTTCAATTAAATTGTAATGAAATGTAAAAAAATTGACGTACAACATATTCTGCAAAAAACTGATTGTACAATCATAAATACAATATCTAGAAAGCATCAAGAGGCGCAAACAATGAATAATTGTGCATTGAGAGTTTTGAGGCAGCTTGACAGGAGATTCTGTCGCAAGATTGACTCAGAATGGAGGCCACCGAATGTCAGATTATATGATTTGTGAGAACATCGATTTAACACCACAATACTTGTAATCTTCCCTGACATCCTGTCAATATAACAGATGTCGCTGTGCAAAATATTCTTTACAAATTGTAAAATATTCTTTTAATGTTTGCAGTTAAAAGATTAAACCTGACTTAACAGTGTTACCGGAATTGAATGATTAGTTGTCGGATTTAAGTTATTTGTGTGTTACTTACATTTTGTTATTAACATTCAATTTGTTAAAATAAAAGCCGTTGCAGCACAAAATCTTTTTGTATTTTTTTTTAAATTGGAATTTGTTTACTTCAAAAAATAAAATTAAAAATGTCAATTTTAATGACAATGGATTAACCGTGTTTCCAGTATTTCTTTATTTAAAGTAATCTAATTAGTTTGTAAACTTCAACTGTTAACTTTTTTAGTTTCGTGGGCATTTTGGATGAAAGAATGAAAAAAACCATAACGGAAAATCTGTCCAAACCTTTTAAATAGTTTTTAGTAATTCCGACATTATAAGTCTAAAATGCAACTCGAGGCAACACACAGAACTTCGAAGATCATGAAAACGTCATAATATAGGCTTACATATTGAACTGGTTTAGTAAATAGCTACTGTAGTAGAACATCATACTCAAATGATGATTCAGTACACACATCTTCAGCAGTGGTGGTGGGGGGGATAAAAAAACCGATCGTGATAAAAAGCATTGCATCCAGAACAGAACGGAGCCCTGAGGCACGCCTCAGAACAGATGATGACGTCACTGTGACTCACCTATGAGTCATTGGACACACACCTGGTGACCGATCCCTGATATACGATTAAAAAAAACCTAACCATTTTTTTTTTTAACGGAGGAATGATTAAAGGACGAGTCATCATGCACGAATGTGAACTACGTCACAGGGAACACAGTGTGGCCTTGGTTTAAATTGCCAAACGACCTGGGGTTCGGTATAATAAACTATTGTAGAACAGTTCTCAAGTACTACTCATTCAGGACTGACCATTCGTTTATAATTAGACAAAAACTGGGGATCTTGGTGGACATGAAACTACAATTTATGTACATAGCAACTCTTACAATGTATACCTACAGGTAAATGTTTATTAGTTATCGGGAATTTTCTTATGTTCTTCCCTAACATCCTAGGACGCAATGCTCTAGCTCGGAACAATTTAAACCATGACTTCAGGCTAAGTATAGAGGATCGCGGCATTATCACACAGCCAAAGTCATTATAATTTATTATGATTGGCGGTATTTAAACCCGGGATCACGGATACCGAAGTTCCGCGCTTAACCAATAGGTCAGCTCCCTCCTCTAAGAATTTATCATAGGAATCATCCCTCCTTAAAAAAATATATAGGCGTATAAAGATAGATTTTTGCACTTGTTTATAGTCCATAGCCTACATTTTGTGATTTTGTACAACAATGATGGAAAATACACAAAAACACTGTTACATTAAAAAAAGCAATATGAATAAGTGTTTACAGATAAATGAGTAAAAAGTAAAAGCCATTAAACTTACAGATTAAGAAGCATTTTGTAAAGGTTACGCAGGAACAGTTAGTTTCTTGTTAAACGAATTGGAAAAGTTTATCAGTTGCGGACTTGGTAAAGTCGATAAGGACCAGAAATCTAAAAGCAATTAACTGGAGTTGGGAGGTAATCGGCGATTAGTGGTGATTTAACGGAAGCCACAAATAGCGGAACGTTGCGTCTAGCCACGACAACATTGACCTTGGCTTTGCCTTGATAACCGCTATCACATCACTGTACACCATCGGTCAGAATATTTAAGCATAGATTAAACATTGACCTAGTCCCTCCCTTCTATACTTTTCATCCTTATCGATCAGCTGTTAATTTTAAGACATCCTTATTTATGGTTTGTGCGAATAGCATATCATTGTCTACTATCTGTTTTTGTTTAATCCGCTTTAAACGAGTTGATTGTAAACTTTCGCTTTTATCGCATTTGGAACTTTCCAAAGAATAAGATAGCAGTTATAAAATCCAACCTAAAAATGAGAGAGTCAACTTTAAAGCATTCAAACGCCACCAATATGAAACACACATTTTAACGCTCCTTTCGCACTGTACGGGTTTCGCCCGTTTCGCCATCCGGTTGAAAACCGTACAGTTTTATGCCGTGTTTGTTTCTTTCACATTACACGGTTTCTGACCGTACGGCTAAATGCTTTTCCTCGATCCGATCTGATTGTTTTCCTACACTAGGGAAAGAAATACTACTCAAAAACGTATGAGTTGAAAAAAATCCGTTTTCGCTGCGATATGGTGGTTTTATTATTGTTATAAGAACGTTTCATCTACTAAATACCCGTATTAACTATAGGTACATTTTGGATCGGTTGTTTTTTCGGCGCCTTTTAATCAAGCGGAATTAAAAGGTAAATCGACTAAACTTTTCTGCCGTATGAGTACAGATTAGATGTTCTGCCAATGCAGCAGATTGCTTCTTCTGTGTATCGGACCGCAACCAGACACGGTAGTAGTGAGTGTGAGCGACTAGACCTGTAATAAACCCAATGGACGGATCTGTGTGCACTTTTATAATGCAGCCACGCATGTCTCGCAATGATGATAAGATTCTTCATAATTGTATGTGGAAACAAACTTAGTTATTAATAGGGCCCAGAAGCAAACTGGGCGAAAATCAACCCGCTTAGGCTTATACAAATTTATAACAAATTTTGTTTCAAAACAATTCGCTTTCGCTTACATTTATTTCACGGTAGTTTATCCAGAACCGAGAAATCAATTAAAATTCCAATATTGTTTTACCTAACCTAACAATTAATTTAATGAATCTTTCATTCCAATGGAATTATACAAGACTTATAATCATAGAAATATAATTGCCATAACTGTACAATTAATAAATCCATGCTATAAAATTTTACTTCGAAATCGTACAGTAGCTATGCTTGTTAATTAATGTCTGCTGTGTTATTTTGTATGAATATTTTTATGTTATTAAGATAGTGTAATTCCTTTTATCGCCATTTCGACTTCGAAATTATTTTTGAAAGTATTCAACATCCAACCAAATACTACACCAGGCCAATTGTCATTTAAATGCCGAACCAATTAAGGATGCGGTCGAACAGAGGAACAATAACATATTCCCAGAACTTGGTGATATCGAAACCAGACGCAAACATGAATAATTAATTACTGTTTTAAAGCCGTAACCGCATTTTGCCTTTCAACAGCAAGTATAAATTGTTAAAATGACAAAAAGCCGTTCACGTGTTCAGTGTTGGCAGCTTCTAAATAATTACCCCATAAACAGCAACGAGAAAGCTTTACTGCTTTTCTGCTCTATTTTGTTTACTTTTTCACCCTTTAAATGGGACGCGTACTTTATATCACTTACTCTCAGTTAATAGCTGAGGTCTTATAAATCTTAGTTGTTATTCTCTTACATTTTTATGTGCACTCAATTTTTTTGATGGTAGGAAAATTGTAAACCTTAGTGTTTTACAACCATACATAATTTTTAAGAGAAATTAAATATAGTTGCACAAACAAATTTCGTTTGAATATCGAACTCTGGGAAAATCAAAGCTAAGGAAGGTTAAATTTGAAATTTGTTCAAAACTACCTACCGAGGTATTAAATCCATAATACAATTTGTTGGCAATTACGACAACATACTAATAGACTAGTCGATGAATGTGGAAATTATTCGCTTCTACTCCACTAATCTCTTAAACATGATGTTTTAAGCATTATGGAAAGTGAACACTGGAAATTAGCTATGACATGCGACTTAAGTAAGAGTTGTATGATTTTAAACTGTTGAGAAGAGGGGATCTTAACGTTATAGGAATTACGAAAGGTCATTTGAGGAAGAGATCTTCGCTAACGTTACATTTAAAAGTGACAAGGAAAGTTAACAGTTGTGTGTAGCTTTTAAACATATTAGAGGAGTCCTTTAGGATGTTAAAGCGTTACTCAAAAATCGGAATGCGTCGTAGAAGAAAGGGGTACTTCTTTCAAAAAGTGTTAAGCAAAGCCAAGCGTTTTGCACACCAACTCTATGGGACAAGGCAACTATTTAATATGTGACATGACAAAAGTGAAGCTTTGCTATAAGTGTACAAACATAACTCACTCTCCAACCCTGAGCCCGTTCCAGCACTCGGCCGTGTCGCGGGTCTCAGCGAAGCTCTCGTCGCTGCACAGGCTGTCGGCGAGGTTGGCGTAGAAGTCTCGGGCGTGCGTGGAGGTGACGGCGTCCAGGAACAGCTGCAGAGGACTGTCGGAGGACGGCTCCTTATACCCGCGGGCCACGCTGGAGACGGTGACGCCGGGGAGCTCCACACTGGCCCCGGGAGCGGCCAGGGTCTCGTCCGGGACTGCGGGGCCGGCGACCAGGCGGGGGGCGCCGCACGCCTTGCGGACCTGCGGGACCAAACATATGTAAATACAGATGCAACATTCTTGCAAAATAATCACGCACTACAACAGATACATCCCATTAACATGGTGGTTCTTTATACTCGTGAACTTTCAGTGACGAATACATACAGCATGTGACCACTGAAACCCATCGAAGGAACATCTATAGAGTAAGGGATTTATTTCCGATAGGGTAAAGGATTTTACAAGAACAGTATATAGTACATAGCAAGTAATTACAGTGCAATGCATTAATAATCAACAACTACAGAATTATGAAACAACTTTGTTAAACGTTATAGAAAAGTTATCGTCAAATAAGGTAATGTATAATCCTAACGCTGAAACCCCCTTAAACCACAGTCTATGCCAACACAAAATTTTCTATAGAATATTTTAAAATGTTAATTTAAGCAATGACACTCCACTCACTACAACAGCTCTACATTTTCTGTAGTGACCACTGTGAAAAAATACTTGAGTTCCGAAAAGGATTATACAACCAGGGAAATATTAATGTTGAAGCACTAAATTCTGCTTGACCTTTTAAAACGGCGTTTTGTAACAATAATCACTTTAGGCGTAACATCTCAAAGAAAACTAGTGATTCAAACAACTCATTTGTAAAAATACTGTGGTCTCTTAGCGCCTTCGCTGCTGGGCTAGGCAATACCCGCCACACACGGATGTAGCTGAATTGCGACCGACGCGCCGTGCTATGGTAAACCTGCAACTGCGTCACTCGTACAGTATGCTGCTCAAAAATGAAGAAGTTTTAAAGGTATACGGCGAAATGCATGAAAAGGTAAATTTTAAATAAATGTACTAAAATATACTTATTGAATATGTAATAAATGCAATGTGCTGCACAGAGAAGTACCTAATATAAATATATACCTATATAATATATTATTTCTCTGTGGGTTCCTTTGATCATTATAAACAGTTAATCTCGTAAGAAAATTTCTATTTAAACAGGGCTAAATTATTCCACAGAAGGCATGTTAAACCAGCGGCGTAGTTATTCTGAAGTATACGGCTTCAGATCATATAATAATTTATGTTTACTGCCAATGTTTTTTTTAACAATACCGAAGTTGTTTATACTAAACTTTTCTTTGGTAGACAAAACTTAAGCTCTTGTTATTGTGAAATTTGTATCACTATTCCTCAATACTTTAACAATTCCGAAAACACTTTTACCAACCTTGAGATGTACCAGTAATCAAAATTAATACTTTTTGAGGTTAAGAGGTCCATTCGTAGCGGTTTAGTAGAATGATTATAGTGTTTTTATAATAATAATCAGAACGTTGTCTGAAGGTTCGATCCTGAGAAAAGTCGATAGCTTTTTGTTCCTCCAAAAACTGGACCCATCTATCCTCGATTATTGAACTTTTAATAAATGTCCTTGGCTGAAGAAACAGCTGATCTTAGCCAGTAACATAGCTACCCAGGCCATGGCATTCCATTCTACTTTCACACTGCATACATACAAATTAAGCTAAAAATGCATTGCTGTCTTAATTGATTCAGTCAATTAAGCGAGCTATATAGCACAATAGTTCTGTTAGTTAACCCTGCACTTGTATCGGCAGTAGTAGATAGTTCTACAGCCGTCCCACAATCGCACAAGCATCGCGGTACAAATTACGGGCTAATTGTCCACCCATACATTCCGCGAGCTCTTCAGTAAATCTCGACTATCTCACAATCTCATTTCCCACGGGAAAACGAACTTTTCGCCAAGGTGAAACAATAACACAGTAAACCTACTGAACGAAGTGCGACTCCACAACTATTCCTATTGTCTAACCTTATTGATATCGAATCAATTGACATCGATAGGTCGATAGTTGACAGTCAATCGCCAGATGGTGGTGGAGGTCTCGCGGATGAGAGCAGACTGTACCGCGGCCGTCCCCGCACCAGACTGTACTCCATACATTTCACTTGCATACCTATAGCGATTCCCAGCGTCTTGGTTTTGTTTTTGGCGACTGCATTCCTCTTCACTTTGGTTTTTCTGCGCCGCCTTGGCGCAGTGCCCGAGCGAGGGTCTACATCTCGTACGCGAATATCTGCGGCTTGCTTACAGCGTATTGTGGTATTGTCTACAACCGCTCACCAACTTGTACGATCTGCTAATTAATTGATTGGAAAATCGTAAATATAGGCAACCTAATGAAGATAAGTCTTCAAATACGATTAAATCCGTTAGTAGCATATCATGAAAGCTATGTTTTTCAGGTTGAAATGTTATAATTATTATTACAACTAAACCGTGTTTAGGGTTAGAATGGTTTGGGTTAGGTTGGATTAGGGATGTTAGAACCGACAAAAAACCCAAAACTGTGTGTTAGATGCAAATTATATGGTTGTATAACGGAAAGTTGGGTCGTCAGGTTTTAGCATAGTTATTTAATTTGCATTACTTATTTCCTATTAAAAATACGAAGCCTACATCAAAATTAAACAATTAACTCACCTGACCCAAATTTCATTAAAAAGAGTTTGTGGGTGCTAACGGAACAGATTTGTAATTTAAATGTTTATTAGGATCACTGACACTCCAAAGAATTCCTTGGCCATGCACTTAGATCTAAATAAACAAATACATGTAGGCCTATGCAAAATAGTAGAGTCAAACGTTTTTTTTTTTTAGAGAATTTAATTCTCGTCTACTTTATTCTTGTAAGAATGTATACGCCTTTAATTTGACCGGATTTCCATAATTTGGATATTTTTGATTCCTAATGCCTCCTAGAGTAAATAGTATTGACGTTCACGCTAATGGTTTAATTTTTGCCTCAATATTCCTGTATCAAACTCAATTATTCTTTTATGGTAGAAACCTCTTAGATTTATACATTTTCGAGGTATAACACAATTGATAATTAGATGGATAATCAATTTAATAATTTTTACCACACAAGACTCTGAGGAATCAAGTTTTTTTTCCTGCCAAGCGCAAACAAGTTTTTCTAGATGGTTGAAATGATTCAGGAAGTTAACATTTCCCAACTAATTTCCCTTGTTTCTGAAGGCGAGGAAACTTGATTGTTGAAAAATGGAAATTCTCGCCCTCTTCATGAATACCTTGTCTGCCGAATAAACCTAAATTTAACATTATTTTATACTTTCATTTAAAATTGATTATCACAAACAACTGAAAGAGTACCTACAACTTTAAAGTGTCGATATTTATATAATGTACCTGAGATCAAAATCATAGTTAGTTTTAGTATTTATTAATAAAATTAAGTATTGCTAGTAAGTATTTTTGAAACATAATATAAAATTACCTTTAAGAGCTCTGAATAGAATTTGAATACTACTCTAATCGAACAGGAATAGTTCCATTTCAGTAAAAGCACCAACAGCTGAGTGCTTCACAAGTAGTTTCCAATGTAGCAATATAGAGAGAGCCAATCTACTAACTGAGGTGATCACATTACATGTCAACAATACAACATTGCAAACACCAAACAGCTGATCGAACATACATAAACAACTGTTATTACACAAAACATTCACATTTGAAGTGTTTTGCTAGCCAAATAAAGGCGGATTGAAGGGGTATTTTAAACTAATTTGAGTGCATTCCTTTACATTGAAATGTTAGTACTAAAAGAAGAAACTCACTCTAAATGGACAGATGTAGCATATTTTACATTCGATAAGAACATCGCTGAATGAGCCAATCAAATTATGTGCTACTGAATTGTCAAACTTCTAATATCTTTCGTAGTTGTCTATAAAATTTTACAAACGGAATTAAAGATAGTCATATAACTTAATAGAATTAAATGTTCCCAACGGAAAAATACTATGAATTATTGTCAAAATGGCTGTACAGATAACCATCACAAACACCACAACCAGGTGCTATACAGTCACATCCTGGAGCTCTAGGCTGGATGTGATGCCAGGGATGTGTTCTGTATGCAGGATGCGCACACGACACACATTGCGCGACAAACCTGCCTACAACTGATACTTGCAACGGTATACAACTCAGTAGTAAAGTAGCATCACACGCTACTTCATACGTCATACTCTAGCTAGACTGTATGACGTAGTATGGTCAGTCCACAGCGTAATGGAGGGTTTTGCCTTCGTTCTCGAAATATACGATGTAAATCAGCTGTTTGCTCGTTGTTGTAGCTCACAACATTATTATCTCTTCCTACACAACCGTTATATTTAGTGAAAATCTTTTTGTTAATGGTTCAGGGATAGTTAGGCTAGGATAGTTATTACACCTAATGTGTGTGTGTTTGTTTGAATTGGAAATATATGATTATTGGGAATAATTTAACGTATATACCCGTCCTAACCTAACCTGACCTATCTTGCACTAAAGGAATTGGGGTATCTAACAGATTTTGAGCCAGCTGTTTGATTGTTTTAACTCACACACTTCCACCTTTACCACCAGCTGTACATAGTATTTAGAGATAGTATTGTTATTGTTTGATACATTGTTGGCGGTGGTGATCCCTGGACCGAGGATACTGGTTTTAAGTTACCTCTACGTACCGCTAAACTCGGGCGTCCTTGAGATACCAGTGATAACCACATTGCAAGTGTGTGTCGGAGCGGAATACATATCAAGTGTCCGTACCAAACATGCCTTCGTAATCTGGGGCAAATAAGTTGTGATCCATCTACGATACTATGTCGTAAATGCAGGAATTATAATAAAATAAACTTTTATGTGTAGTGTAAAAGTATGTGTGTGTATTATTAAAAGTTCGACCACAAATTTATCATATTCGAACTGTAAACATAGGGATGCCTCAGACGGAGACGGGACAGAGTGCTTAGAATTTCTTAATCCAAATTTAATTCGTTTGCTATTTTGATTACGAACTGAATGAATTTTGAAATCTGTCATTTGGCTATCCAACAAATTGAATAATGCTATCCGACAAAATGTGAGGAAAATCCATTAGAACATCCTCTCAAAACGTAAAACAGCCACTGGCTTTGAAAAACAC